TAAGAATGAAGATAGATAAATGTGTAAATATTAATTATTACTGGAGAAGGAAAGAATCAGATAAATTAATAAGAGAAATAAATAATAAATGGGTATGATCAGGAGAATAGAAAATCTGCAAGAAGATATGAAAATGATTTCAATGTGTATGCATTACTATCTCCAAAATAAATTTAAATGAGATAAATTTGATGAAATAAAAGAAATAATAAAGAAAATAAATATATTAGAAGATCTAATCAAGGGAAGGAGATGGTACAGAATAAAATGCATCATGAGATTAAAGGAACAAGATGCAGATGAAATTAAAATTAAATTACAAGAAAGAATAAAGTACATAAAATATATGATGACGATGATTAAAGAAAGAATTAAATTTAATAAGAATGAAAATGTCAGAATCAATACAAATAAAATTATGTTTGATTCTAATAACAAAATTAAAATAAAGAAGAAACACAAAATGAAATATACCCAAATAACGATATTACTTTAGAATATTTGAAATTGTTATATGAAATACAGGTGATATTAAATAAGGAACATTTGAAAATAAATCAAATCACCTCGTGGAATGAAAGATACAGGAATTATGATAGTGTCATCATCAAATTGGATAATTTAAATTTAATTATGATGAAAATAAGTAATTGGAAAGCACCAGGTATTGACACTATATATGGGTATTATTAGAAGAGAATGTCATCATCAAGAGATTCCATTCTTAATATCTTCAACGAATGGTTAAACTTCCCCGAAAACATCAAATTAAATATGGTAAATTGAAGAACAGTATTAATCAACAAATGAGGTGATAGGAACGATGTCACTAATTATCTTCCTATCAGTTGTACAAATGTAATAATAAAAGTATTTACCTCCATATTGAAAGAGAATATTCACAATAGAATTAACATGAATAGTGAATCATTAAAAATTAGTAAAAATCAATTATGATGTAAACTGCAATCTCTTGCTGCTAAAGAAGGATTAATTAACAGTTATATGTTAAAGCAGCAAAAAGAAGAGAAATACCCAAAATATGTAGAGTCATATTATGATATTAAGAAAGCATATGACTCAGTAAATCATGAATGGGTAATAGAAGCACTTAAATATTTTAATGTAGAGGGAATCATCATAGACATTGTAGAAAGTATGATGAACAGATGGAAGATATTCATATGATATAAATATAATGAATATCTAGGATGTATTAAAATTATGAATTTTACATTTTGATTTATTTCAATCTATCATTATCAAAATGAATATAATTTATCAAATCATTAAATAGAAATTTAATAATATAAATCATATAATATATGTAATGAAGAGATTAAAATAATGAACAAAATAATGAATAAATGAGAATAATCAACAAATAAATTAAATAAATAATAAATTAAATAAAGAAATGAAAGAAAATAAAACAAGAAATAAATAACACTAATCAAACACTATCTTAAAATGAAAATATCACAATAAATGAAATAGAGGAATTGTATAAATATTTAAATGTATGATAATCAGATGAAATTAATGATATATTCAATTATAGAATCATCAAATAAAAGATAATGAATAAAATAGATGAAATAAATTATGATGAATGTAGTAATAGAAGAGATATTACAATAATTATCAATGAACTAGTCAATATCTTCAGATGTTCGTCATCAGTAGTAAAATTGAATGTAACTTAGATAAAATGGAAATTGAGATAATAAAATAAATAATAAATACAAAATATATTAGTGTTGGTAATTCTAAAGACAATCTATATATCAATATAAATGAAATAATGAATAATAAACATGAATAATAAATATTTTAATGAAATAATTAGAAAAGTGATGTATTATTGTATAAAAATGAAATAATAAATAATATATTAAATAGATGATATTCAAAGAAATAAATAATGAATATAAATAAAAATAATAAAACATAAAATCAAAGAAATAGAAATAGAATAAATAATAAAATAAATGAATGAAAATAAAAAGAAGTAGTATTAAAAATAAAAGTAAAATAATGATAAACAAATACATTAATAAATTGAAATTAAACAAGTAGATATTTTAGAATATTGATTGGTTCAAATTTTATAGATAAAACTACTACAATCAATGCATTTAATTCAATCAATATTAAAAAGAATGTATTTCTCAATTTAAATAAAATACAAGATGAAGTAATATTTAGTTTGTATAGAAAAGATAAAATATTAAAAAATGATTAAAATACTGCATACTTTGTAAATACAAGATATTAACAATAGAATACATTCTATTATCTCGTATTATTCATAAAAATCACAAAATGAGAAACATGACAATGTTAGTAAGTATTATCATATTAGATATAAAGAAAATATAAATGAAATAATCAATACAAAAAATCCCCATATGGAACAGTGTTCAAATACAATAACATTACTATGATATTGAACAAACAATTAATATCAAAACGTGATTAATAATATCATAAAATATCAGATATATATAATAAATAAAAAGAATAAAACTAATCTAATATTTGATATGAATATTGTTGTATATCATAATATTACTGGAGTATATTTAAATAAAAGAAATAACTATAAAGAATTAAAAAAAAAAATAAGCGAATGAAAATAGATAAATTAAAAGATGATAAAATAAATATAGTAATAATTTCAATAAATTAATTAATAAATTAGAATGTGTCAAATTAATTAAAGAATTAAAAACTGAAATTAACATCATAAAAGAAATTAAAAACATTGTAATTAAAAACAGGATAGAGGTCATGGAACATTGCATATACATCAATGAAACATATGTTGAGTTACTTGAAGAAAAATTATTGATAAGATTAGTCTACTCTGAGCCATAAATAATAGAAACTAATTCTCTTAATACTTAGTTAATTGCTTTTTATTTTTGTTTATTTTACTACTTTGATCATTTCTTTCGATTTAGACATTCAAATATTGAGACTAATTATTTTTAAATATAATTTTCTGATACAAAATTCATATAATCTTGCTTGATTTATGACTATATATTTTTGAATTAATAAATTAAATTTTTATTTATTTTATTTAGTTCATTTCTTTTGTTTATTGTCATATTAAATCAAATTGATTCTTGTTATTTGATATTAATTCTCTTATTGTCATTTTATTGTTTCAAAACAATAGTAAAAATGAATTGCTAATGAAAAATAATTTATGTATCAAACTAAATAAAAAATAGAATATTACATTGTTCTTCCTTTGATTATTATTTGATATATTAGATAAATATATCAATAATATATTTAATCTTCATATTAATAAAAATTGTTATGAATAAAATAGAATTTAAGATAGATTTTGAAAAATCACTATAATAATAGTTAAAAACACTCTACCACATTATATTCAATGAAATTAATAAAACTCAATGAATATACTTCATTATTTTTTTAATAAAATTACATAGACCATTCTCTTATTAAGATAAAAGAACATTTTTCATCATAAAAGAGTGATTTTCATTTATAACTGAGTCCAATGAAAAGAAAGTTGTTTGGAAAAGCTTACAAGTAGTAGCAATTTTTCACTGTATATTTTTTTATTCGTTCTGAAAAAAAACATGCTTAAAAAAATAGTTGTAGTATGAATTAACTAAACTTTGGCTTGTTTGAGAAAAGAGGATAATTAACAAAGAGGATTTATTCAATAAATGATAAATTTTATTATGTATATTAAAATTCTTTAAACGTACCTTATTTGTAAATAAAATAAATAATATTAAAAAAAACATAAATTAAAAAATATTCTTCCAAAATAAGTTTCTCTTTTAATATTTATATTTTTTTGATACTTAGGATAATTATTACATACACAATCAAGCTAATTAGGTAGAGAAAAAGGAACTTTAGTTTATAGTCAAAAGAGACTAACCTATAATGAAAGCATTTAAGATGATCAATATTGTTTGATTTAAAACAATTAAAAGAGTACTTCTAAAAGAAATACTACTAATAATTATTATACCATTACAATAACATTAAACCACACAAATAGAAAGAGCATTGAATAGTTAATTCTTTTAACTAAAAATAAACTAATCATTAGAATCATGATAAAATCTGTTTTTAAGAGAAGGTTAACAAATCATCAAAAAGTACTCATAAAACAATAACTATTCTTGTAGATTTTAGTTAACTTTAATGATATTTAAAAAAAAAAAGAAATCAATTAAGTTTAAACAGAAAATCTGAAAGGTCCAACTAACCACATAATGTATTTAATCAACTACTCATGGAATATTATATTTTAAATAGTCAGGTTACAAGGAATTTAAAAAAGAATAAAAGACAAGGTAAACCTCAATTTAATACATCAAACCCTAAAAAAAAAGAAAAAAAAGAGAAAAGACAAAAAAGAAAAAGAAAAAATGATTTTTGGTTTTTATAATAAAACAACTGAATAATACAAATAAGAATGAACGAAGAAGTTCCTGGTACTATTGAACGAATTGATTTAGAAAATTTTATGTGCCATAGACATCTTCAATTAGACCTCTGTTCACAAGTTAATTTTATAGTAGGAGAGAATGGAAGTGGGAAATCAGCAATATTAGTAGCATTAGCTATTTGTTTTGGGGCGAAAGCTACATTTACGAATCGAGGGAAACGAGTAAGTGATATAGTAAAAAATGGAGAAACACATTGTAAAGTATCTGTATATTTAAGAAATCGAGGAGAAGGGGCAATGGATAAAGAAAAATATGGAGATACAATCATAATTGAAAGGAAAATATCAAAAGAAGGAGGAAGTAGTTATAAAATCTATTCAATGAATTCTGGGGAAAAACCAAGAATTATTGGACATAAAAGTTCAGATGTTAATGAAATTTTGGATCATTTTAATATTCCTATTGACAATCCATGTATTCTTCTTATGCAAGATACATCAAAAACATTTTTAACAGCAACACGAGCAGAAGATAAATATAAATTTTTTTTAGAAGCAACACAACTTGATATGATTAAAGAAAGTTATAAACAAGCAGAGCACTCATGTAGTAAAGCAAAAAAAACGAAACAAGATAAAAAAGAACAAATACCACAAATGGAAAGAGAAATAGAAAGATTAAAAGGAATAATGGAAGATGGAAAAGGAATAAAACAAATTAAAAAGAAAATAGAAGTATTAAAAAGAGAAGAGATATGGGCGAAGTATAGAGACCAAAAAAAAAAGGTAGAAGATATTCAACAAACAATAGAGGAAAAAGAAAATAAATTAAATGAATTAAAAGAAGAACGAATAGAAGAAAAAATAGAAGAGTTAAAAGAAGAATTAAAAGTAGCAAATGAAGAATTAATGAAAAAAGAAGAAGAAATAACAGAAATTGAAAAAAAGAAAGGAATAGAAAATGAGAAAATGAAAAATATAAATAAAGAAAAAGGAGAAAATAAAGTGATAATAGAGGATTATAATCAAAGAATAGAGACAATAAAAAAAAGAATAACATTATTAAAAAATAGTATTGAAGAATCAAAAAATCATGACCAAAAAGATACAGAAATTGCTAAACAACAAAAAGAAGAAAAAATAAAAACAATTAATAAAGAAATAGAATCATTAAAGAGAAAAGAAGAATTAATTAAAGATGAATTAAGTCCATTAGAAAAAGAATTTACAGTTAAAGTACATTCATTAAATGGATATGACGATGATATTAAACATATTCAAAATGATATTAAAGTGTTTGAAAATGAAAAAGATAAATTAGAAATGCAAAAAAGAGATAAAATGACAATTTATCATCCAAATATGCCAAGAATGATTAAAACAATTGAACAAACAACATTTGAATATCAAATTGAAGGACCAATAGGAGAATATATTCAATTAAAAGATAATAAATGGAATCATGCAGTAGAAAATTGTATAAAAAAATCAACACTAGCTTCGTTTGTTGTTAGAACAGAAAATGATAAAAAAAAATTAAGAGAAATAGCAAAAAAAATTAATTTTGATATTCAAATTTATGTTTATAATATCAAATTTGGAAATCAAAAATACGATATTAAAAAACAAAATTATTTAACTGTACTTAATGTTATTACAATTTCTAGTCCTATTATTTTTAATATTCTTATTGATCACATTAATATTGACACTATCGCTGTTGCTAATACTTTTAATGATGGAAAAGAATTAATGAAACTTGGTGCAAAATTTATTTATCTTTCAAATGGTAGTTTTATGCAAAAATCAGGTAAAACTGAAGCATATTTTCCTTATAGATTACCTAGTAGAGCAATTTATGGTGGTCAAAATATCGAAGATTCAATTCAATTAATTGAACAACAAATTAAAACTTCTAAAATGGATTTGCAAGGAAAAGTTGAATTAAAAAATCAAGCAAAAAAAGAAAAAGAAACACTATTTCTTCAGTTAAATGAATTAAAAAGAAATTTAAGAGAAGCTGAAAGAAACACAAGACTAGTTGAAAGTAAAAAAAAAGAGACTGAAAATATTGTAATAAAAGAACCAGAAGATATTAAAGAAACTGAAATGAATTTATCAATTTCTAAAAATAAATTAAATGAATTATTAGAAGAAGTTAAAAATCAAAAAACAAAAACGAATGAATTAATTAAAAGAGAAGAATTTCAAAAAATTGAATATCAAAAAATTTGTTCATTAAAAACACAAATTGAAAATGAAGCAAAACAACAAAAAGTTTTACTTGTAAATATCAGAAAACAAATTGATGAAATTAATGAAAATAAAATTGATTTAATTAAACAAAGAAAAGAATTTCAAATTGAAATCCAACATCAAAATGAATTGTTAATTGAAGAACAACAGCAATTACAAGAAATTACTATACTTTCTTCTGAATTTGAAAAAATTGAAACTTCAAAAAGTGTTGAAAGTATTGTTAATGAACGTGTTAAATTAGAAAAAAAACAACAACAAATTAATTTAGAAAATGTTAATTATGATGAAGTTGAAAATGAACTTGAAAGAAAACAACATCAATTAGATGGTTTAACAGATCAAATTAATTCAATTGAAACTTTACAAACAAAATTAGAAGTTGAGTTAGAAAGAAGAAAAAAAAAATATACTGAATTACTTAAAGTAACTGCAACAAAAACTATGCTTTTATTTAATCAATATCTTGAAAAAAAACCTGGTTGTAAAGGTAAAATTAAACTTGATCATTCTAAAAGAATTCTTGATGTTGAAGTTTCTATTGATAATGACTCAGAAAGAAGTGCTAAAACTCTTTCTGGTGGGGAACGTAGTTATTCTACTGTTTGTTTATTACTTGCATTATGGAATGTAGTTGATTGCCCTTTTAGAGCAATGGATGAGTTTGATGTTTATATGGATTCTATGGCTCGAAAAGTCGCTATACAAACATTAATGGAAACAACAAAATCACAAAATAAAAGGCAATATATTTTTATTACTCCTCATAATTTGGATGGTGTTGTATCTAGTGATAATGTAAAAGTTTTTAAAATTAAACGACCTGATAGAGACCAAAAATAATTATTGTGTTATCAATAACAAATATTAAATTTTATTGATTGATAGTTTATTATAATTTTTTTTAACTTTTTATTTCTACTCTTCTTTTTTTCTGTTTATTTCATTTGAATAACAATAATTCTTTGTATTGAAAATAAATTGTGTAATGTAGGATATTCTGTTCCATTAATTTCTTTATTCTCTTTCATTTCATAGACCTTCATTGGTTCCCATATATAACTCTTTCTAAACCTTGAATTCCATATACAAATTGAATCTTCACCACAAAGAAATAAACAATCCTTATTATTGTTTACTCCTTTTAATGACTTATTTAATGAGGTTTGTTTAGGTAAAAACCTTATAAATTCTTGTTTAGTTTTCTTTTTTGTTGAAAAAATAAAGTGTTGGGGATCTCTTGGATACTTGAACGGTGAAATTAGTGGATAATGAAGATATATCCCGAAGACTGTATCAAATTCATCAATGACAATAACATAAATATTTTCTTTTTTTAAAATACATTGAAGAAACCTATCTTGATCTTCTCCATCTGTGTCGCTATCAAAAATCAATTGACTAACCGTTAATTCTGACCATTGTAATAATTGTGAAAAAGGGTCTTTTGACGACGGAGAACTGTGTACTTTTCCCATAACAATACAAACTAAAAAAATAATAATGAAAACCTATAATAATTTTATATAAAAAAAAGGATATTTCTTATTTTATAACATAAATAAAAAACAAAAAAAAATTAAATTGTTATTTTATTTTTAATCAAGAAGAGTAACCATATTTCTATCCAGTTATAACAGTGAATTACAAGAGATCACATCCCCCTTTCTTTTTACTTTTTCCTCCTACTTTAGTTTTTCTCACAGCTTCATCAAAAAGTTCAGCAACACCTTTATTTTGAAGAGCAGAACATTCACAATAACCAGCAGCTTTAATTTTTTTCACAAGTTGTTGAGATTCTTCTTTTGAAATTAAAGTTTTACCTTCCATTTGAAGTTTACTTTTAACATCTTCAGACTCACGAAGATCTGTTTTTGTTGCAGCTAATAAAAATGGAGCATTTGGGCAAAAATGTTTAATTTCAGGTAACCATCGTTGAGAAATATTACCAAAAGAACTTCTTGAATCAATTGAAAAACAAATAATAAGAATATTTGTATTTGGATAACTCATTGGTCTCAAACGGTCCTATAACTAAGTTCAATTCTTTTATTTTATCATTTTAAACTGAAGTCTATTAACAAACATATTCTTCTTGTCCTGCTGTATCCCAAATACTCATTGTTACTTGTTCTCCATCAACAGTTTGAAGACGTGAAAAATTATCAAAAACAGTTGGAATATAATCTTGTGGAAATTGGTTATTGACAAAAGTACTACATAAAGCAGTCTATTATTTATTAATTCATTTCTTTTTTTTTCAGATAAATTAATTTGATAAATTTAACAAACTTTACCTACAGCACCATCTCCTACCATTACAATTTTGACAGTTCTTCTTTCCGCCATAATGAATGAAATGAATTATTAGTCTGATCTCGTTTTTTTTTCTTTTCTTTTTATTTATTTTTAAATCATCTATTTGTATAGTTTTTTTTTATTATTCTTTTTTTTATTTCTTTTTATAATCTTGACCTTCCAAAAAATATAGATAATTCGAGTGGTTTATTTCCCCTTTTTTTCTTATTCTTTCCCGCTTTCTATATCAAAATTTATTTTAAAAGTAAAAATTTTCAATAATTTTTTGGGTTATATGTTGTCATACCCATGTATTAGCTTTTTTTTAGTGTTGGCTGTATTTAACTCAACTAAAAATATAAATCCAAGAAATTTGTCTTCTTTTAAGTAATACACTAAAATTCTTTTGGTTCTTTTTTCAAAAAGTTAGTATTAATTTTGAACTTAATTCTTTTTCGATTTATTAGTTAAAACAAAGAATTTCATATATTCTTTGTTATTTATTGAATTTAAGTAGCTTACTAAATTTTATAATAAAAAATTATGTCAGTTTTAATAACAAATGAACATCCCTGAAATCAAATAATACTATACTTCAATATAGTTTTCAAATTCCAATTTTTCAAATAATGAGCATGTTTAATATAAAGTATTTAAAATGAACAACAATTTAAAAATGATGTCCTTTTATTTCAGTTTTAATCTTCCTTTAAAATTAGTTGAATACCCAAAACTAAATAATTTCAAAAGTAATAAAGAAGAATAATAAAAGAAATTAATATAATACAAAATAGGTTTTGAATTATATGAAAATTTCTTGAGTAGTTAAAGAAGACATGAGCAAAACAGGACCAAACCAAACAATTGTTGATGGTGATGAAGAAATTCAAGAAAAGAAATCAAATAGTTCATCTTCAAGTAATTCTGGTGACCAATACGGACAATTAGAAACTTCAGACCCAAGTGAACAAGAAGCAGAAGATGATTACGGAACATTTGAACCAAAAGAATGGCACGAAGAATTCCTAGAACTATTACCAAAACTTGCACATGGTGAAAAAGTTGACAAGAAATGTTTTGAAGGAGAGTTAGTTATTCCAACTGCTGAAGAAGAAAAGAAAGTTAAACTTGGAGATTATATCAGAGAACGTATTATGGAAGTTGATAAAAAAGGAGGTGAGGCTAATGTATTTGAAGAAGAAGAAAGACCAAAAAAAGAAACAGTTGTTGAAGAACAAGGAAGGTTATTGAAAGAATTCCATCAAAAAGCTGATGAAATGAGTGAAGATGATGATTTATTAGTAACAAAACAAAAACCAGAACCAATAAATGTTGACGAAGAATTAGAACAATTAGATGATAACGCAAAACAATATTGGACAAAGTCAGATAATCCTGATGACGAATTTTTAAAGAAGTACATTCTTGAAAAGAAATGGGAAGAAATTGAAGATGGTAAAGAAGATGTAGATTTAGATGAAGACCAAAAAGCTGTTGATGCAGAAGATGATTTTGAAGCTGAACAAAGGCTTGGAATTATTTCGTATGGAAGAACTGTTAAGGATTCACTTCGTAAAGAACATAATAAAAGAAAAGAACAACGAGAACGTAGAAAAGCAAAAAAAGAAGAAGAAAAAAGAAAAATGATGGCTATCACAGCTGAGCAAAAGAAAGAACAAAAGAAAAAGATCGAAGAACGAATTAAGGAATTACAAAAAGATGCTGGAGTAAATTTTGATCAACACTTTATGGATGAAGACTTTGATGAAAGTAAATATGATGAAATGATGGAAAAACAATTTGGGGAAGATTATTATAACCAAGAAGATGATGGTATTGAAGCATTAAGAGCAGAGATTGCAGGAGAAATGAAAAAAGAGGATCAAATGGAAGAAGAAATTCCAATGGAAGAAGAAAATGAAGAAGAAGAAAATGAAGAAATAAAAACAAATAATAAATCTGAAAAGAAAAAAAATAAAAAAGATAAATTAGATTCTATCTCTGTTGAACGATCAGATGGAACTAAAGAACATGTTGATATTTCACATTTACGAGGAAAAGATAAAAAGTTAGATAAAATGATTGATGACTATTATGGAATGGATTTTGAAGATATTGTAAATGGAGAAAAAACAAGGTTTCCTTATATTAATGTACCAAAGGATGATTCTGGATTAACTGCATACGACATTCTCTGTTTAGATGATAAGGAGTTAAACCAAATGTTATCCATTAAAAGATTAGCTCCATATGATGAACGAAAAATTACTCAGGCTGAAAAAGAAAGAATTCAAAGAATGAAAGAATCTTTATATGAAGATGATAAAAAACCTCGATTTAATAAGCATTCTAATCATAGTAGTTCTACAAAGAAATTTGAAAAGAAGTCAGAGAAAAAATTTAATAAAAAGGAGAATAAGTTCAGTAATAAACAAACTAGAAAAGGAGATAAAATCTCAAAAAAAATGATTAAAGAAAATAAAAAGGTTAGAAAAGAATAATAAAAGAAACTTAATTGATTGATTTTTTAAATCAACTCATCGCTTTGTTAAACTAAAGAAAAAGGGATAACAAAGAGTTGTAACACAAATTACTTTATGAAAAAAGAACCAAAAGAAACACTAAGAGTTCTCTACTTCAGAGAGGATAAATATAGATGATAACAACCACTTTTAATAATAAGACTTGTATTAAATAAAGCTGAACTCTCGGGAATTTAAATAAACCAATAAAAGACCTTTGAATCTTCCACGTCATTCAAATAAATTTAAACTGCTTCATTTTAATTACTTTTTGTTTAATGGCTACAATTGATTTTAACATTCATTACATAACATATTTTGGACAAGAATTATATATTTGTTTCAACGACAGTGAATACCTTCCAATGAGCTGGACAAGTGGACATATATGGGTTGGCAAAAAAACTATCAACGGACCTATTCATCTTGAATGGTACTATCTTGTAAAGGTTCACAATAAAATACAAAGAATAGAAGAAGTTCATGGACTTCGTGAATATAACTTTAATGGAAATAATGTTTCTGTTAGAGATTGGTGGTATTATCCTGATTTAACTTATGTCACTGATGTTTTACATGAACAAAGTACTATGAATAGACAAGACATTAACAAACAACTGTTAGATGAAAAAATATTTAAGGCAAAGAAAGAAGCAGAAGAGAAAGCAAAGAAAGAAGCAGAAGAAAAAGCAAAGAAAGAAGCAGAAGAAAAAGCAAAGAAAGAAGCAGAAGAAAGAGCAAGAAAAGAAGCAGAAGAAAGAGCAAGAAAAGAAGCAGAAGAAAGAGCAAGAAAAGAAGCAGAAGAAAAAGCAAGAAAAGAAGCAGAAGAAAAAGCAAGAAAAGAAGCAGAAGAGAAAGCAAAAAAAGAGAAATCTGAGAAAGAAAAACAAGAACGGTTAAAACAACTTCCAAGCTTAGATGAAAGCGTTGGATTTTATCCAGTTCAAAGAAGCAAAGGAAGTCCATCTTCATCAGAGAGATCATCAGAAAGAAGTGAAAGTAATAGACTAAAACGTTCTTCTCAAATTCAGGAACAAATAAGAAAATATGAGGAGCTCGCAAAGAGCTCACAAGAAGAAGTTCAAAAGAATCTAAGACATTCATCATCTTCACAGAGAGTATCAAAAAATTTTGGTAAATAATTAAATAATTTTTATTAAAAAAGAATTACTGAAATATCATTTGACAAAAAACAAATAAAAAATACACGAATAAAATGAAAACATACAAAAATGAAAGAAAGTGAATTAACAAAGCTCTAAAGCTTGTTTTAAATCAGAAATAATATCATCAACATTTTCAATTCCAACAGAAATTCTAACTAATTCAGGAGTAATTCCTTGTTTTCTCATTATATTTTCAGGAACAGCTGCATGAGTCATTGAAGCAGGATGTTCAATAAGAGTATCAACACATCCAAGTGAAACTGCTAAAGTACATATTTTAAGATGTTCCATTAACTTTTTAGCAGCTTCAAATGATTTCATTTCAAATGAGAATGTTGAACCATAACCAGTCATTTGTTTTTTAGCAATGTCATGACCTGAGAATGATTCAAGTCCTGGATGATTAACTTTAACTATTTTTTCATGTTGTTCTAAGAATTTAGCAACTTTAAGTCCATTTTCCATATGAATTTTCATTCTCATTGGAAGAGTTTTCATTCCTCTTGCACATAAGAAAGCATCCATTGGTGCCATTAATGATCCTGCATCTTTTCTATAGAATTTAATAGTTGCAATATCTTCTTCTGTTTTTGCTGATGAAACACCACCAATAACATCACCATGTCCATTAATATATTTACTAATTGAATGAAGTGCAACATCTGCTCCAAGTTCTAATGGTTTAAGGAAACATGGTGATGTAAATGTTGCATCAACAACTAATCGTGCTCCACGTTCATGACAAATAACAGCAATACCTTTAATATCAGAAACTTTACATGTTGGATTTGCTGGTGATTCTAAATAAACCATTTTAGTATTTGGTTTCCAAGCAGCTTTTACTTTTTCTACATCAGAAGTATCAACAAGATCAACTTCAATACCAAATCTTGGTAACCAATGTGTAAATAATGAAACAGTACATCCATACAATGTATCTCCTGCAATTAAATGGTCTCCCTTTTGTAAGAAAGCAAGAGTTGATGATGAAATAGCTCCCATTCCAGAACCAAATGCAGCAGAACCAGCTGCACCTTCAATAGAACATACCATTTCTTCAAATTGTTCAACAGTTGGATTTCCAAGTCTAGAATAGATATGGCCTTCTCCTTTACCCATAAATAAATCAGCCCCTTGTTGTGTTGAATCAAAACAAAATGTAGAAGTTTGGAAAATTGGATAAGCATGTGAATGTAAAACATGATCACCTTTTGGATGAAGAAGAGTAGTAGTAATATCTTGAGCTGTCATTTAGTTAGTTTAAGTGATTAATGAATAAAAACAAAAAGTTATATAGTTTAAATAGTATTATGAAAGCTTCTGGAATAATAAGATAAGAATAAGTATATTAAAAGATAGAAGAAAAGAGTTTAAAGAAGAAAAATGAAGAAAAATGAAGAAGCATTAAAATAAGTGGAATATACTTTTAAATAGAAATAAATCTAGCCGAATTAAAAAGAAAATTCCTTTTTAAGAATAAAAAAATTCATACAAATGAACTAAATAATTGAAAATTAAATATTATAATTTAAAAAACTTGGAAACAATTTAACTACATTAAAATTAATCAATTTCTTTTTAAAGTTGTGTTATTCTAGTTAAAAGAGAAGATGGATTAGTAGAAGATAAAGCCAATGTATAGGTATATAACTCTTGAATAGTTGGTTTTTTATTTTTAATTGCTTGAAGAAATGCAGTAATTTCATTTTGATGTTGAATATCATTTAAAGGATGATATCTAATTATTAAATTAATTTTATATAAAAACTAAATAAAACAAACCTCATTTCTCTTCCTGTTAATGAAGAAGCTAATAATTGAATAATAAATTTTAAACGAGAATCCCCTAGCATTGAACCACACCCCCATTTCCCTGTTGCAAATGGTTGCATTATATCACAATCATCATCTATTTTTTTAATTGCACTAAAAACTTTGTTAAGTTCTCTATCAATTCCATATTGAGTGTATTGTAATTTTTTATCAACACAAATTAATGCATCAAATATAACAAAGTCATGTTTTCTATTTAATAAATTTTGTTATTTAAAATATTGATTAATTTTTTTAAAAAAAAAAACAAAGAAACAAACAATTGTAATGATGCTACATTCCCCTTAAAACTTATTTCAGTTGCATATCCTGTTACTTCTGAATATTGTAATATATTATATATTCTAAATGATTCATTTGCACTTAATACTGGTGCAATTAATAAAGCAACCATACATTCTGGACATTTAATAAACATAATTTCTTCTTGTGAACATCCATCTTCTAATACATTTCCACCAACTGCTTTTGAAGAAAAAACAGCTTTTAATACATTTCTATTTTCTTTTTCAATTAACCCATCTACAAGTGTAACATTAACAGAAACAGGAAGAGATAGATTAGACCATTGTGGTGATTCACCATATACTCGTTGATATGTAATTTGTTCTTGAAGAATAGGATCTTTATTAATAATTGCTATTCCAATAGTACTAAAATATGCCATATAACATCTTAGTTTAGTTGCCGATACTTTATCTACAATACTTAAACATCTTGGAAATTGTTTTGCATCTTGGAACTTTATTGGTAATCGAAATAATCCAAGAAATGATAATGCAAATAATGACGCTACTTGTAATCTATTTAGTCGAAGCATTGAATTAGGTGCTGTTGGAAGAATAAGTGGTGTTGGAAAAAGTTTTGGATGAATAGCTGCTAACGAAGCAATAATTGGAATAGTATCCCTAAAAAAATGACTACTTTCTATTGGAGGTAATGATTGAAGTAAAGACAATGATGCAGGAGATGTAAATGAGTACAGTCTATTTAATTCACTAATATTCGATATATTTGAAAGTAATGGAAATATTGAACACCACAATTGAAATGAAGCGCAATTAGGAAGTGAATAACAAGGTAATATTATATGTGTTTCTGCGTGAATTATTTCTTGTGGTGTTATTGTAACAAAGGGAATCTCTCCAAAGAGTGGTGAGAAATAAGAACAACTTGGAAGACTTTGAGATACGCTTGTACGTCTTTTCATTTCTTTTTATTAAAAATAAATTTTTAATTGTATTTGGGAGTTTTCATTTATTTTTGTTTTTTTTTCTTTTCAGAATTTTATTCAAAAAATAAAATCATTAAAGATTCTATTAAATTGTTATAATTTGTGTCATCATCACTAATAAATTATTCCTTAATTATACTCTCTTCTTTCAATCAAACAAATAAGTATATTTAAACAAATTTTAAATTTATGTTATAAATTGATTGATTATTATTTCAATATATTATCATAAAATCCAATTCTTTTTAACTTTTTTGTATCATATTATTAATATCTTTGTATTTAAATAATTAAAAATTCATATTTTGTATAAACAATATATTTTAATCATAATAATTACTAATTATATATATTTATTATAAATAATTGTATAATCTTTTCAATTGACATTGTATCATAATAGTTGTGATTTATATTGTTATCTTTGTTTTCAAATAAAAGTAATGATCACTATAATATTATATTCAAAGAATAGTAAAATGAGAATTAGCTCTAAAGTGAATAAATTAAAATTATCATTTTTTTAAAAAAAGTTATTATTAATAGCTAAATTAAATTGTAATTTGATATAATGATTAATAAAATAAGTATACTGAAGAAAAATAAAACAAAATACAAGATTATTTAAACAATAATTATATATAGAATAAATTGAATTATAGCTTTAATGGATATTAAATATCTATTGTAAATAGTAATATTAATTAGAGCATATTAAATGACAACAAATAGTAATACTATTCTAAAAAATATATATTTATTATAAGAATATAAAGAAAAAAGAAATAAGATATTGTTAATGAATGATTCATAATTATAGAAATATCTAATTAAACTTCATCAAAAACCAAATAGAATGGGTTTTCTTTCATTACCCTTTTTCTTCATAAGAACTCTTACCAAAATAAAAGTACATATTATCTAATATTTTGCAAAGTAATTAAGACCTATTCTTAAAATTAAAAGAATAAACTTAGCATAAATGATTTAAAAATAAAACAGTATTTAGAATAAACACAATTAAAATAATCGAAGATTGTTTCAATTTATAGAGTACTGAATTAAAAAAGAATGAAATAAAATAACAATTATTGAAATTATAAAAAATCCCCATTGAAGATATTGTAACTTATTTAAAGAATCATTTTTTATAATTTTTGAGAATTTCAAATTTCTCTTTTTTTAATTATTTGTATTTCATATTATCTCTGTTATTAAATCTATTAAAACTACTATGAATTTATAGCTAAAGTCATTACTAATATTTATTAATATCTATAATCAAGATAATTTGTTATTGTATTGTTTGTGTTATTGACTATTAAAATAAATTTACAATTACTCATCCTCTAAATGTTCAAATACATTAGTTGGTAGGACATGTACCTCTCTTGTCATAACACCCTTAATGTCTTTTTGTCCTTTTTGTACTGCATCACTTTTTTCTATTCATTTTATCTTTAATAATAAAGTAGTGATTTGATTTTAAGTACAATCTCCTGACTTTCCTTCCAATGAAATAGAGCCATTATTTTGTTTTAAAAAGAAAGTACTCAACCCAAAACAATTCAATTGTCAACAATCTTTTTTAAAAAACAATAGTCTTCATTATCAAATCCATAAATATAGAGAATATTCTACAAACACAAGCCTTAGTTTTTGTAATAAAGTGTTATTCATTTTTTTATAAAAGAAAGATAACAGCAATATTAGTAAAAAAAAAGGAGAAATTACAGTAAATAAGGAAAAAAACAAAAAATAAAGCTTAAAATAGCAATTAGAAGAGAAAGAACTATCAAAGAGATGAAAAGGTGAACTAGAAACGTTCTCCAATGAGATGTTCTTCTTTATTTGGAATAGCACTGTATAAAATCCTTAAAACTGGAAATCACATCACATTAAATAAGGAATGAGAGCACGTATGGTAGGACCAGGAAGTTCTTCTTCCAATTATAAATCAACTACTGATCCATGTAGATTCATGGGATGTGGACCATCATCATCTACTTCTTCTGGCTACAGAAAGGGAGGAAATGCTGCTGGACCAATGGCTTCAAAGGGAACATGGGCTGCTACTACTGATATTGGAAAAACTGCAGCAGTTGGAGCTGATACTTATGAAGCTGGATATAGAAAAGGAGGAAATGCTGCTGGACCAATGGCATCTAAAGGAACATGGGCTGCTACTACTGATATTGGAAAAACTGCAGCAGTTGGAGCTGATACTTATGAAGCAGGTTACAGAAAGGGAGGAAATGCTGCTGGACCAATGGCTTCAAAGGGAACATGGGCTGCTACTACTGATATTGGAATTACAGCTGGTGTTGGAGCTGATACTTATGAAGCTGGATATAGAAGAGGAGCTGATGCTGCTGGACCAATGGCATCTAAAGGAACATGGGCTGCTACTACTGATTCTGGAATTACAGCACCATGTTCAGGAACTGAACCAATTCCTGATTCATACGAAGCAGCTGGTGTTTTAGCTGAACAAAGAAAACTTGAAGAAGAAGCTGCTAATGCTGCTGCTGAACAACAATAAGTTATTATGTTTTTCAAAATATTGTATTTTATAAAAATCAACATAAGAAAAGATAAATAAAGAAAAAATTTAAAGGGAAATAAAACACTAAATCAATTGGGA